TTGACGGAGACAGCGTGACGGGAGAGGCGTTGACGGAGACAGCGTTGATGGAGAGGCGTTGACGCGAGCGGCGTTGACGAACGAGGCGCTGACGGAGAACACGTTGACGGTGACGGGGTGACGGAGGAAGAGTTAACGCAGAAACGTTGACGGAGAAGGCGTTGACGGAGACGGGGTGACGGAGAAAGGGGTGACGAAGACGGGGTGTGACGACGAGGCGTAGACGGAGACGGGGTGACGGAGAGGGGTGGACGGAGAAGCGTTGACGGAGACGGGGTGACGGAGAAAGGGGTGACGAAGACGGTGTGACGGAGAAAGGGGTGACGAAGACGGTGTGACGCACACGGCAGCGACGGCAAGGACGGCAAAGTAACTGCCACACCAGTGGCGGCAAAACCGGTGGGAACGCAGGGGACGGGGGCGGCAGGGGGGAAGACGAAGACGGCAACATCTGGTGGTGGTGGTGGTGGTAGTGGTAAGGCTGGTGCGACTCCCGCAGGCGGCAAGGAGAAGGCACCGAAGGCGAAGACCGCAACAGAAGATAATTGTGAATGGAGGAGCGTATTGGATAAAGCGCACATGGGACTACACGTAATGGGTAGATATAGTGTAAGTTACAATGGGAAGGACTATACAACGAGAGAGGGCGAGGATAATTTATTACAGGGGATTTATTAATGAGACATATGCACCTATAGAGGTATCAATGCCTTCCTTGGGAAGAATGGAAGTGACACATCAACATGCGCGTTTCTTCATTTTCCGGCCCAACATGTAGACGGAAGAATGGACAAGGGTAAAGAACGTACTGGATGCATTTGCGGAACATATGCAGAGGTACGAGGATCTCATGGCGCACGTAGGTGCAAATTGTAATAATGCTTATTGGGAAGATTTCACACAAGGGCAACACCATGCTGGACAGAGAGTAGCAGACATGATGAGATGCAGAATCATGTCAGGGGCCTTATGGTTTGCGAATGAAGCACGGAACCGTGGGGAGCAGGATACAGAGGACGAAAGGCGAAGATGCGACGTGGCCCATGTTTTTGGACACTTACTAAAAACACAATATTGTAAGGATAAGACGCCATGGCCAAGAGGTGTCGAGTATGCATACAAAGCAATGAGAAATATGGGCAACACGGTAAATGGAACAGAGGGATTAAAGGGTCCCGTTGTGGACGGAAAGTGCAACATATGTGGGTACGAGCGTAGTCGGACGACACCCGGAATAATAAATGGAGACATGGCCACATGGTTACTTGTGCAATGGAGAGTCATGGACAAATTAACCCACATGGAACGCACAATGGATTGCACTAAAGATTGGGCAGAATATCAATTACAGCCAGGGAAGGCCGGCACAATTACAGCTAAGGATGAGGCCCGGAAGAAAAAACTGGACGCCGTAAAGGAGGAGGCACAAGAGACAGCAGAAGACATAGTTAAAAAGCTGCAGGACGAAGTGAAGGTAGTATTAGATGACTTAGGAAATTGTACGGCACCGCGCGATAACGAATGCGTGAAGCAGCTATTCGAGAAAGAAATTCAAGCACGGGCAGGTAAGACTACTATTACGAATACGTGGCCTCATAGGCATATACAGCCTCACACGAATACGAATATACGGACCGTACCGATACGGTATAACATTAATACACGGCCCGAACGGTACAGCTACCGCTGGCACGCACATGGATGACGCCACCACAACAACACGCGGCGGGAACACAACGCAAGTACGCACGGCGGCACAGCACCACACTTCGTTCACGTTCCGCGGCGGCGACGGAGTTTAGACGAGTGTAGCGGACTGCAGCGACGGCCACTGTGTAGACGAGGTGTGTGTGCGGTGGCCACGACGGCATCGGCGATGAGCGTGTAGCGATGGCGGCGAGCGCACCGTACCGCGGAGCGGTAGTGTAGATGAGGTGTGTGTGTGCGGCGACGGCCACCACGGCAGCAGTAGCTACGACGGCGAGTGTGCAGCGCGCATGCATGTAGAGTGTGCGGAATTTATGGATATAAGGGCATTATATGTGGATCGTTTGTTTACAGAACCTATGGAAAGTAAAGGGCACCCGTTGTTGTTGTTACGGATGCTATTGTAACGAGCCATAGTGTTACAGTGGAAATAATTACACCTTCTGCGAGACTTCTGATGTTTATCACAAATTTTTTAAGTTAGCAGAAAAATTAAAAAACATTTTATACATTATGAAAGTACTTACTATACATATTGGGCTTATGGTAACCATTATATATTATATATAGGACACAAAATACGCATGCATTATATACATATAAAATGTAGTAGGACATACGCCATTTTTCTCTCTAAATTATGTTTCCTACCTTGTAATACCCATGAACAACTCAGTATATCAACAAACAGTACAACATATGCATACGAAAAACTATGTATATTAGGAAAAATGTACAAACAACATTATAATGTAGAAAGCGGAACAAAAAACGTAAATGCTACAAAACCGTGAATGCACTCTATCATAGACATAGTACATAGTATCATACAGAAAAATGTCGGTCCAATAAATGCCTAGGAACATACCACAACATTGATGTTGTTTACCAACAGCAGCATAATGAAGGTATTTACGATTATGCTGGCACCGTCGGTTTCAAAGTGCTTTCGGTTTCTCGGATTCTCATGGCTTTTCAGGGGTTTCCTTCTTCGCGGATGCTTCCGATTTCTTAGGTACTTCCGGTTTTTCGGATTCTCCTGGCTTTTTCGGTGCATCCTGCTTGTCGGGCGTCTCCGGTTTCTTTGGTGTTTCCCCGTTCTTAGGTGCGTCCTGCTTCTCGGGTACTTCTGTTTTCTTAGGTGCTTCCGCTTCTTTGGGTGCGTCCGGTGTCTTTGGTACTTCTGGTTTCTTATGTGCTTCCAGTTTTTCGGATTCTCCTGCTGTGCCCGGTGCTTCCTTCTTCGTAGGTCCTCCCTGTTTCTGAAATGTTCCTGGCTCTTTAAGTGCTTCCTGTTTCTTATTTACTTCTCCTTTTTTTTCCGTTTCTGTGGGAGCTTCCTTCTTCTCCTTCTTCTTGTTCTTCCAAATTTTATCCAATAAACATTTCCCTGTCTTCGAGCGGCAGAAACATAGTAGCACACACAAATACATAATTATACAAAGTATGGGAATTCCAGAAAAGGCAGTGAGCGAAAGAAGAAGATCAGTTAGTGAGCTCAAGCTGGACAGCATGGAGGAATGAATAATGGACATAAAGAATGAATACAGGAGTGTGGACAATACTATAAGTATTGACCATGCTGTTCTCCCCATTTTAAAACGTTTCAATTTCTGACAACATTCCTTCAGCTTGTTCTGCGCTGTTGCACCCTGTGGCTTCTTCTTTACAGGTACTGGATTCTTGACGTGCACCTTGGGTTTAAATTTTCTCCGCATATCATCGAACACCGTGTTCTTCACGGGACTACCCGTCGCACGACCGTCGTAACAATTACGTGTGCCTCGTGTCCACACATCCGTTGCATCACGCAACGACACGGTGGGCGTTCCAACGGTAGTCCCATCTATCGTGTCAATGTGGCTTGCGCCATTAGTCGATGATGTGCCTATTGTACTCGCCTAACACGAATATACAAAAAAAGGGGGAATACATGGGTTTGTTGTGGTGTATATAGGATGATGTGGAACGTGAAAATAAATGGAAGGAAGGTAGTTCTACAATTGTTAGGAAGGAGTTAGGAGCTTATCACAATAAATGTGGTAACTCCCAAAAAAATACAATTGTTATTATCATACACCGTCAGCAATTTGCCCAAAACACAGGGCTAAAAGGAATATAGAAAGTTTCCAAATCAACATCATTGTGTTCCGTTTTTTTCCTTCCGTGTACAAAATGCTAGAAGTGGCGATATGTTGTTTATACGTATGAACTACAGAAATACTATTTTCTCTTCTTCCACATGTACGTGTATAGATTATGCGTGTAATACTTTTCTTCATCGGCCAATAGTGAACATTGATAAAATCAATTGCGTACGAAATATACTATTCTTACCTAGGTATGTACATATAAATTACATGAAGTATACATATGCATCATAATATAAATAAAGAATAAGAGAAAGTGCATAAGAACCCCGGATAACCCATTCTTGGTACATATTGTACGACGTAAAAGTTGACTAAAGGGGTCAACATCTTTCACAAACCTAACACGGGCTCATGTGCACTATGTCGCCGTGTTAACGGTGTAGTGGGAGCAAACAGCATATTCAAGAGAGCAAAATTCCATATGTGAAAGAACACTTTACTATGTTAAATTAGGTATAAGAGTGAGGAAGTTAGTAACAACAGAATAAATTATACCCCTTTTACATATACGAACGGCGTCAAAATTTTTTTTTTGCAAGTGTAGAGCTGTGGGCTCAAAGTCACATGGTGTCAGTGTTTTGGGGGGGGTTGTTATTGTCCCGTATTCGCATAATTATACATGTATATCGTGGCCGTTTATTATTTATGGGGGTCGTCATTTATAACGTGCTCAGATTTATTACGCGTAGTGATAAATAATAATTGCTGAAATATTGTTTCACAAGGTTCTTATGCGTGTATACCCGCATCTGTATCTTCTTTTTTCAAAAAGTGTGAAGGGATTTAATTAGGAATGTAACAAATATATATATAAAGGATAAGTATGGTGAAATTGTTGGCTTAGGGCTTAAGGTTTCAGGATTATGTGATTGCGGAATATCGATTTAAGATGCGGGGTGCAAGGCTTACGGATTTAATATTGTAAGGTTCAGGAATGCGTATTCAGCATTCCGGGTTGTGGATTCAAGATTAAGGGTTTAATGTTCGCAGTTTACGAACTTTAGGACGCTTAACATTTTAGGGCTTTTTTTTTTTTTGTTTTTTACAGTAATATACCATTATGTTTACAGGAGTTATACGTACGAATCTGATACTGTATGCCATCGCACTCATATACATTTCCCCCTAATACCTAAGTATCTAATATATTGTGTCGAACGCGCCCAACGTCAGTTGCCGCCAATGTACCATGTATCCGGCATTGAAGCACGCACGTCTATAGTAGGTTTGTTTTCTTCTTTTTTCTTTTTTTTTTTCTTTGTTTTTTTTTTTCTTCTTTTTAAAGTTAGTATTGCGTGTTTTTTCTTGTTGGAGTCACGTCCAAATAGTAGGTTGGTTATTGTTCCTTTTGGGAACATTGTTGCCGTGAAACGCATGTGCATTTCCAGTCGGTTATATTTGTGGTTGCTTGTGCGTTGTGTGTTGTGTTTTGTGTGTGTGTTGTGCGTGTGTTGCGTGTGCGCTTGTGTGAGTGCATGCTTACCTTCCAAAGGGAATAACCAAGAAGGGCGACGGTGACGACGGACAGGAAGAAGAGTACGGGAGTAGTGGCGGTAAGGACGTCGGCGGTTAGGTCGGGTCCATCGGGGCCACTGAGCGAAGGATTGCGTGGACGTATGTTGTCCTTATCCATAGAACCGGGATTTGTAGGTTTTCCTTCCGGTGGTACATATCCCCCCGGTACATTATTTATCCTGGATCCGGGTCCTACGTCTATTTTGATATCACCGGATACTTTGTTCAGTACTCCTTTTGCGCTCGCCCTTTCCTTGGCCTCATATTGCTCCTCCTGCTCCACCTCAGCCTTCCTTCTTTCTTCCTCTTCGGCCTGCTTTGCGCGCTCTCTTGCGGCCTGCTCTGTGGCTTCCTGTTGGACCTTCTCTTGATCCTCCTCTGCTTCATTCTTCTCAGTGCCCTTTATTCCATTTCCGGAGTTAATAACATTGTCCTCGCCTGAAGCATGCGGCGGAAGAAGGATAACGAAGAAACTAAAGTTTCTAAGGTGGTTGGCGAAATGGTTGACGGACATTGAGCGTGATTGTGGTCGGTCGTGGTTGGTCCCTGATGGTTGACCACATGGTTGGCACCATGGTGCCACCGGCACGGCAGCGTCGAAGCAGGAGATGGGGCGATGGGGTAAGGTGCCACCCCGGGGAAAAGACTCTCTCTCGCTCCCACACAACACACAACACACACAACACACACAACACACAAAACACACACTGTGTGTGTGTCTGTCTGTCTGCTTCGACGTCTACGTCGACGTGTACATGCAGCGGCCGACCCATCGCTCTGCGTGCCGCTCATTCTCATTCGACGTTTGGTTTCTCTCTCGCCCTCTGTCGGTGTTGTCTCTCACTCTCTCGCCGGAAATTGTTGTTTTTTTTTTTTTTTTTTTTTTTTGTGTGCTTCTAATGTTATTTCGGGTGTTTATTTTCACTATGGTGCATAGGAATTGTTACCTGGTGCAGGATCAGAGGGAGGTAGAGGTGTACTAGGGGGAACTCCCAACTCGGAATCTGGAGTGCACCCGAGGCTTACGCTAACGCTGGATCCGTGCGTAATCGTACTGGTGGAACTCTCTGTACACGTATTACCTGTTGGTGGTGTAGGAGGTGGGGGTTGTTGTCCAGGTCCTGGTCCCTGACCCGGTCCTTGCCCGGATGCTCCTGGTGCCGGTGCGGACTCATCGGACCTGGCCACTCCCTCTTCCCCTGTCCCTTTTGTCGGTCCTTGCTTCTCCGGAATAACCTCCTTTGTTACTGCTGGTACTGTAGCTGGTGGTGCTTCCGGTTTCTTGCCTCCTGCAAATGAAGAAAGGCACAAAAACGACAAAATGATACCACAAGGCCACACGTGGTACAGAAAGAAGGGGCCGGGACGGGGCGCGACGATGGGGTCAGGTAGCGGCCGCGTATGATCCGCCGCGATGCAGTGGGTCGATGCATTGGGCCGGCTGCATGGGTCGGTGCAGTGGGTCGAGGTAGGACGCAGTTTACTCGGTGAACTTGGGCTAGATGGTAGCAGTACAACTTTTATTTGGTGTCGCCGTCCCGCTGCATCCCTCGTCCGTTGCCTCACCGCCGCGTGTGCGTTGTTGTTGTTGGCGGCGGCATCCATATTCGTGCCATCCGTATCTGTACCGTACGGGCCGCATGGGTAGCACCGTGTGTGTGTATTCGTTTTCTTACCTGCTAGGTCTTTAATTTTCTGGTTCACTATCTTTGTAACCTCTGCAAAAGCTGTCTTCGTCTGCGTCCTTACTTTTTCCTCCGTTTGCTTTACCTCAGGCAGTGTGTTGGTAATGTCCGGGTCTGTGTCTGTAACACCCTGACTTTGTTTATACTTTTTCCAATCCTTTTCACAGGGCAGCTGTTGCTCTATGTGTGCTATTTCGCCCATTATTCCTTCCGTTACGAACCATTCTGCTATGTGCCCATTTATTATTCCCAGCTGCGTGTGACTACCTTCATAGCCACATTGTTTGCATGTTCCATCCATAACAGGACCAGAAAATAGTATGTTACCATGCTTGTCCTTGTGCATTTTCTTCATTGTTTTCCAGGCATATTCTACACCCCTCTTCCATCCTTGTGTTTTACAATACTGATGCTTGAGCATGTATCCAAATACATGGGCTACCTCACACCTGAACTTTTCGTACAATTTATCGTCATCGGTTTTCTGTGCTTTCTCACTATTGCCATGTTTTCCCTGCTTGTTCGCAAAGAACAGTGCTGTGCTCATAAGTCTACACCTTACGACGTCTGCTACCGTTTGTCCCTTATATTGATGAGTATCACCGAAATCATCCCAACCTGTATTAGCGCAGTTGGCACCGTATGCATCCATCTGATCCGTGTTCTGCTGCATATAATCAATAAAGGCCTGCAACACGGCCTTCAAAGCCTTGAGTTCTGCACTCTGTATGATGTACATGGGAATATGGGAATATGCATGACTACATTTCATGTGTATTTTACCCACCAGGAGCGTGGACACTCTGATATATACATGTAACTGTATTAATAGGTTTTTCTTCGTGTTCTTCCCTGTTTCCGTCACCGAAACTTACATCATAATGCTGCAGCACGTGTACGTGCCTGCTCTTGCCTTCCAATATGCTCTGCCATGGACAATTATCGTCTGTTGCTGCCTTCTTCCCCTTCTCTCCTCCAGCACCTCCACCACGACGACCACCACCACCACCAGACGATGTCGTCGTCATGCCACTGCCCGATGTGGTCGTCGTCCCCGATCCCGGTGTCACCGTTCCTGCCGGTGTCGCCGCTACTGGTGCTGGCTTGACCGGCTTGGCTGGTGCTGGTTTGTCGCCATGGGCGTGGTTGGCGACGGCCCCACCTCCATGACCTGCATGATCGTTTTCTGACCTGCCCGGTGTTGATGATGTTGTGGTCTGTGTTTCCCCCGGTGATTGTCCGTGTTCCTGTGGAGTTTTCGAAGCGGAGTCCTTGCCCTGCTTCACCGTCTTTATTATAGTCTCCATACTTGTTCCCTCTGGGGATTTATCTATTTCCTGCAATATGTCCTTCACTGTGTTCTCTATTTCTTGCCCCACTTCCTCAATTTTTTTATTCGCTTCGGCCTGTATGTCTTGTGCACTCTTGTCTCTTTGTACCGTACAATCCGGCCCCAATACTCCTACCTGCCCATCTGTCAAGTATCCCTTATTCCTGTCAAGCCATCTGTGCATTATTTCTGCTAAATTCCAATATTGCGTGTTTTGTGACCTCTGCCTGGTGCCGTCCTTCCTGTCCTCCTTCTCGCATTCCATATTGGGCTCCTTCTGTTCTCCGTCCCGTACCAAATGCTGCGCAGCCTTAAATGCATTCCTGGCACCATCCGTTCTCAAACATTTTTCTCCTATTATTCTTTTCATAAATATATTTACTAAAATACATTTCATATATGGCATTACGCCATCTGCTGCCGCTGTATTGTCCAGGTCCGCGGGGCCCATAGGGGTTACATCGAATTTAATGCCATGTTTAAAACCTAATGCTTTAAGTGCTAGCCAGCACACAGCTTTGTCCTTCTCACTGAATGTTTCCCCCTGCGCCTGCGCATTTCCAGCCGGCGCTTGGTCCATCTGACACAGTAAATCTATCATTGTATCATCGTTCGCGTCCTCCATATGTTGTGTAAACGTCTGCCATACTGTGTTCACATGTTCCCAGAAAGTTTTCTGTAGGTACATGGTTCAAGATATATGCATATATTAACTATACTACGTTCACTAGTTACCGTTCCTATATATAACTGTTCAAGTCATTACACTGTCCCCTGTTCTATATATATATAGCCGTGCCTCGGACAGAACTTGCAGGAGCTGATAATGTGAACGTGCACATGTTGCTTGCTCTACGTTCTCATGCTGCCCTAATATATTCATGTGTGCCTATGTAGGTGTTCCCGCTAAGTCCTCATATATGTGCACTTACCTGAAAATCCTTATCATCCTTCCTCACGCCTGATTCCCCCTTCCCAATGTATTCCTTCCATAATATATCTAAATAGTGGGCCATGCTGTCCCAAATTAGATTACATAAGATGTCGATTCATGGGCTTGGTCACGTAAATTGTGCATTAACTGAACACTACCCCGCAGAACTACAATTTGCGTCATAGGTGCTTTAGTTGCTGCATACTTAGATTATCCCGTCCTTACTGTATCCCTCAATAGCAATACTGTGAACATAAATCCTGGACCCGAGGAACCCTTAACCACAAATACCCCCCCTTTCACAACAACTACCCGCAATGAACAAAAACTACCCCCCTTAGCAACAAATACCCTCCCTAACAACAAATATGTCCTCTAACAACAATACCGTTAAAAACCAGTATCCCCTATACACTAAAGCGCAGTATAACAACAACATCAATTCGTCCTTGTGCATCCTGCCGTCGTTGCCGCGTACTTGAACCGCTGACTCGGCCGCGTTTGCTCGACGCGTTTGCTCGGAGATACAAGGTCTCCCTCCTTTCTTGCCCTCGGCACAACTCTTACTCGGCTACTTCGTCGAATCCGTCTTGCACTTGGCCGCGGTGGCTCGGAGACAATGGTCCGCCGTCGTGCACGCGGCCGCTTTGGTCGACGCGTTTGCTCGGAGAGACAATCCTCCTCCTTCGTCCACTCGGCTACGTCGTCGACTCGGTGTTGCACTTGGCCGCGTGGGTCGACGCGGTTGCTCGGAGAGACAATCCTCCTCCTTCTTACACACGGCTACTTCCTCGGACAATGGGTGTACCCGGCCGCGTGTGCTCGGAGAGGCAATCTCTCCTTATACTCGAATGCGTAGTCGCGTGCTATATTAGTGCTGCACTATACCCGTAGAATGCACGTGCTCATCTGTTAATAATTAACTTCACATAAAGGAGAATACTACCGCGTCATATTATTCATGTAAAGCTACGTTTTATATGCATGTGACCTGTAACACCGTGTCCCCATGGTCATATTAAAAGAAGTTGACTACATAACAACAAACAAAAAAAAACAAAAGCACAAGACAGCAGAACAGAGCAGAAAAAAAAAGACGGTATAGAATAATGTACACCCGAAATATATTATGTATACGACATAATGAAGTAAAAGTGGTGTACGGTTAGCATGCGTTATGTCCCATGCATATGGCGCGTCATACTAATGTCAGAGCTTCTCCAATAGGTCATCCACATATAACTCCTTCTCGTGCAGACGGCTTTCAAGCTCGCACTGTTCTATGACTAATGCCAGGATCAGTGTCCATGTGTGAGCGGTTAACGGTTTTTTCATGTAAGGTTGCGTATGCAGTGGTTGGGGCCGTCGTACATCGCTCAGTCGTAGTATATCTTCTGCTGCCAGTACTTGTTCCACTTCTAAGTCTTTTTCGACTCCAGGTACTTCGCCTTTGTCCGGTACTGTCTCCTCCGCCACAGTATTCAACAAATGTGGAAACCACTCTTCTTCACTATACATACGCATTTGCCGATGTTGTTGCGCTACCCACTGTTTCCACAATCGCAGTTTGTTCATCGGCGGGGTGGCTGCTGCAACGAAGGCACGCTGCCCGTTGTCGTCGGTTGCCGAATGTTGTTGATAATATTGTGTCCACCCACATTTTAAGGCGTGGAACCACGGCTGCGTCGTGCACTCCCGCAGCATATGTTTGTTGCGGTCAATCCAAGGGATCCACTTTGTGTGCCAGGTGGGGGCCGAGTTCGCCTCCCTGTGGTTGGAATTAGCACGACTCTGTTCTGAATCTAACTGTATGGTTTCCATACAACTCCATGGATCGGGGTCATCATCTGGACAAGGGTCCGTTGCTAACGGTATAGTTTCCATGCAACTCCATGGATCGTCGTCATTAGCTGCAGATGGATGCTTTCCGTCGGACTCGGTGGGTGGATCCACGGGGGAGGAAACATGGTTTCCTGATGAAGCCTCGTTTGGGATAGCAGTATCCGGGGAACCACTATGTCCGTTGTTGCCCCCCATAAACTCTTCAACGAGTATCTGCAAATAGTCGTCTTTGACGTCTTCCCAATCTGTCGCTTCACATTCGTTGAGCACTTCTAGATGTAGCTCGATGATCGTGCGCTTATGCACGCGCGGTTGACGTCGTCGTCGTCGCTCCGCAGCAGATGCAGGTTGCCTATCCCTAATCATGTTGTAACCGTAATCGCGTGGCGGCAGTGCGCCGCGTTGCAGATGCTCCAATATGTCTGCGTCGAGTGGCGGTGACGGCACGTCACGAACGGTTCGAAACTTTCGTCGTCGTTGTTTTCCGAGGTGCGCAAAGTACTAATCAAAAAAAAAGAGCAAAAGGGCGGATGAGCAGAACATGGATTTGTTGGCATCATCATTTAAGGGCGCTCCGTAGAAACACACTCTTATGGTGCATATTGCGGATTTTCATATACGGCGTCGTGTAAGGTACTTACCTTCCAGAGGGAATAACCAAGAAGGGCGACGGCGACGGAAGTGAGAAAAAACAGAACGGGAGTAGTGGCGGTAAGGACCGCGGCGGTTAGATCGGGGACAGCAGAGTCACCTTGAGTTGCAGCCGATGTAGTGGATGATCCGGGTGTTGTGATAGGTGGTGTAAATCCACTGCCTACGGCAATTCTTATGTTATTTGGAAATATGTTGTCCAAATCGAAAGAGGGCACTCCACCGTTACTATTGTTGCCGCTGGACCCCGCCTGACCGTCCCCATTCAGATCCGCTTTTGGTTTGGGTGGGTCTAGCTTTGGAGGGGGGTCATCGGTGCCGCCATCGACGGGGGCATCGCCTGAACATGTGGTGAATGGGGAGACAGGGAAAGGGAAGGAAGAAGTATGATGAAACTGAAGGTTTGAAGTGGATGCATGGTTATCGTTGGTCGCTCATCGTTCACGGTTGATAGCATGGGTGCCACGGTGCGAACGGTGGTTGGCTGGTGCCACCCCAGGGAAAAGACTCTCGTTCTCCCACACACAACATAACACACAACACAACACACACAGACACAGTGTGTGTGTGTCTGTTGACGTCTACGTGGCTACCTGTCTACGTCTACATCCAGCGGCCGACCCATCGCTCTGTCGTTCTGCCGGTTTCACTCTCATTCGACGTTTGGTTTCACTCTCATTCGACGTTTGGTTTCTCTCTTCCTCTCTCCGTGGTGCCTCTCCCGCTCTCTCTCCGGAAAAGTTGTTTCTTTTTTTTTTGTGTCCTCTTGTATG